TTGAGCAAGATGGCTCATTTAGCGGCGGTGCCAGACACCATCGACGGAGTCGGTACAGAATCGTGTTGTTCACCAACACGGACTCCCAGAGTCGATTGTCTCTGAAAGAGATCCCCGTTTCACGGGAAATTTTTGGTCGACTATCTTCAAGGTGCTCGGCACCAAGTTAGATTTGTCGACAGAGGATCATCCGGAGACCGATGGTCAAACCGATAAGGTGAATCGCGTCGTCGAAAAGGTTCTTTGCAACGTCTGCGCTGAGACGCTGGAGCGTCATGTTGCCATTCTTGGAGTTTTCACTGAACAATGCAGTGCATTCGTCTACCGGCTACACACCGTTCTACGTGAACGGGCTGATTCACCCTCGCGTCCCGCTGACGCCGCTCTTCCATGGCTTAGGGCTTGTTTGGGGAGGAATAGCCGAACAGCTAGCTGATGTCAGCCCCGCACCATCCGTAAGGAAGTCGATGACTTCTTGTCTACTAGACTGAATGTCCTACGCCACGTTTGCGATGCAATGGCTGAAAGCCAAGACCTGCAGAAACAATGTGCAGATGGAAAAGGAAGAGGCAATATGAAAAGCTTTAAGGTCGGGGACCTGGGTTATTAAATTCCAAAAACCTGTCTACACATGCAGCCTCTGCAATCTTCAGGACAAAGCTTCGTCCACGGTTTATCGGAGCGTGTAAGGTCGTGGCCAAACGGGGCCTGGCGTAGACGCTGAACCTTCCGTAACGGATGCGCTCCAACCCGGTGTTCTACGTGGGTTTACATAAGCCTTACCGGGATCCGGAGCAAGTGAACGCGGAAGCGCTGACGCCGAAGCGGATCCCACGTGCCCCCGTCCACCCAGAAGCTGAACCAGCAACCTGTTCTGAGCACGGAGTGCAACTACCTCCATTTCCAATTGAGCCAAGCGCCCCACCGTTGCCTGCAGCGACGCATTCGCCTGGTCCACGGCTAGGAGTTGTTCCGACAGAGTGCGGTACTTCTCAAGGCAAGGCAACCGGCGCACGACGTCGTCAAGAGCGTCCGCGCAGCGATTTGCTACATTAGCATGACGCTCAGCGGAGCTCCGATCACGAAGGACCTCGTCTTCAAGAGCTCGAAGAGCATCACGAGTCACCGGACGGTGGTCGGCCCGGTCGTTACTGCCCGCCACCGATTCTTCTCGATGGGAACGGTGACGTCCATTGTCACGTAAAACGTCTTGTTGGACGACGTCGTCACCAGGGTCAAACCCAATATTTTGTGAGGTGAGGAGGATATATCGACTCCGAAAACTCGTGGGAGTTTGAGGCGCCACTTCGGCAAGATTGCCTAGTCACTATGAACGCTTTTGATCGGAAAGATCAGAACGTCCCGCGTCATCAGACGCCCCGCTGCGCTTCCCGGCAATAGTCAGGGAAGTAGACGGGCCATGAGCGGAGCTCAAGCAGTGGCCCTGAGCTCTAGCGGTCGAAGCCACAGAGCTCGAGGGAGTATCAGGGATTAACCCATACGTCGCAGGGCGGTGTGCCTTGAGTTTGGCAAACACAAAGCGGAGGTGTCGCTCCACACGCACGTCCACTTCCTTGTGGCTTAACTGTAGGTTATACAGTGAGGAAAGTTTTCGGTGCCGTTGCACCCATCGCTCAAAGAGCGCCTCGTCATTTTTAGCGCTTTTGCCAGGGGCAAGCACTGCAGGTATTGTCCGAATTGCGGGTACACGAGGGCCACGTCGTTGAGCACTCAAACGATAAGCTTCTAACGGAACTTCTTGTGAAACCAAGAAACGAGATCGAAGAGCTTTCCGTGTGGCAAGTTCATCCTCCGTTCTGGCTGGGGGTCCGATGATGTGGACGCGTAGCGATCGAGTTACCGCTTCCTTCGCTTCCACAGCGGGATCCGCAGGGCGAAAGCCATATTCCACATGAGGATCAATAACCAGCCGTGGATAGGCGCGGTTTAGATCCGCCTTATGAGCAGCTTCAAGCTGCCGCCTCTGTTTCCCGTCGAGATCATTGGTGATTACACAACGTTCCTAAATCGACGAAAAGTCAGAAAACGGACATGGGGTCCGT